AGCCAGGAGAGCGGCTGTATGGTCTCGGGACACAACAGGGAAGCACCTAAGAGGGGCATGTAGGCATCCAGCTATCGGGTGCCTGGGACAGGAGCCACAGGGCTGCAACATGCAAGGCACATGCACTGCTGACCCACCTGGCAGAGCAGGAGCGGAGGCTGGACAGCATAGGTTTGTTGAGAGAAAGGTTTCACGCTGCAGGAGAGAGAGAGGGTGTCTGCCACGGGCAGGCTGCCGCCCGGAGCCTCAAGCAGGGTCCGATGCCCTTTGTGGTTTGGCCATCAGTGGCCTTGGTGGGCTTTGGCCTCCTGCTCCCTCCCCTGCCAGCTCCCTCGCGTTTTGTGGCAGATCTGCAGAAGCAGCATGTCTGTCGGGGAACCCACCCCCACCCCTCACCCCCAGGTCAGCCAAGAGGTCTTGAGTCCCAGCCCCCTTCCCTCTGGGCCCCACAGCTCTGGCCCTGCCTACATCCTGGACAGACTGGGGTTTGGCAAATGCCACCCCCAGGGTGTGACACCACGGTTGAGCCCAGTGATGCCTGAGAGCAGGACAGCCAAGTCCCTAAGCTCAAGGCTGTCCCGCCAAGGTTAACCCCACCCCCAGCTGTGGCCCTATCCCACCCTGGAGCCAGGCTCAACTTCATGAGTTATGGGTTCAAGTTCAGTTCAGGGAGCAACTGGTATCAGAAACCAGATCATACTCACTCATGGGACATTCCGGCTTGGCCGGCAAAGCTCCTTGCCAAAACTGAGGAGAGTAAAAAGTGCAGAGTCAGCACAGCATGCACCCAGGCCGTGCGTGGGGGAGACCAGGCAGGGCCTCCACCGGAAGGGAGGTGGAAGCCTGAGCCCGGCAGGGGGAGGGAGGGAGGTCAATGCCCCTGTCCAGCTGGTGAATGTTACGGGCACAGCAGGTCCCCAAGCCAGTTTTAAGGAGATCTAGTCCCTGAAAGGCTCTGGACAAGGCTCCGTGGAACAAGGCAGCTACTCTGGCCGGGCTGCGCACTGTGTCCCTCCCGGAGAGATCCACGCGCCGCTCGGGCAGCTTAAGGCTCTGAAGAGTCCTGAGTCACGCAAGCTACTTAAGTCTAAGTGTTGCAAACTCACTTTTCTAAAGAATCATTCGTGTTTTATCTACTTACCGTGCGCTGGGCTGCTCCCTGGCACACACTTTGAAAAGCGCTGGGTGAGCTCAGGGCCGGCGCTGCCCTCCCACACGCCGTAGGGCGGTGCTGTGCATGCCTTAGTGCCAGAGCCAAGAAAGCCCCGTGAGGAGGCAGCTCTGGGAAGGAGGAGCCTTTCTGGACCACTTTGCAAGTGTGGCCAACCTGCTATGTAGCCAAGAAAATTTAAAATCCAAGCAAGGGTTTGTTCCTGGACATCAGCTCTCCGCCTGGAAGGAAGGCAGGTCTGAGTCCCTGATCCTCTCTCTTTTGAAGTTTGTTCCTGCCCTGCCCCACACTGTCCTTTTGGTGCCAAACTTGGGCCTTGCTTGCAGAGGCTGAGTTTGTAAATCCAAGCCATGCCTCTTCCCAAGGACACTTGCCCTTTTCAGGAGGGAAGTTCCAAGCACACCCAGGCCAGCCCCCCTCAGGCCTCTCCCTCCAGGGGGACAGGAAGGACATGGCAGGCCGTACCCCAGCAAGCCTGCAGACCTGTGATTAACAATTGCATTATGAGGCCAGAGAGCGCCATCCGCTCAGTGCCAGCAACTTGCGTCCCTTCCCGGATACCTGATCCAAACAAATGACTGGAGCTCAGGAAACCACGGGCCTCGGAGGATGGGGCCGGAGTCAGGAAGAAGTGGGAAGGGCATTCTGGGGAGTGACTGCAGGGGCCAGGCAACAGGGCCAGGGAGCCACTGAAGGGGAATTCAGATAACCACTCCGCCAAACTGTTGCTTTACAGATGAGGAAACTGGAGCTCAAGGAGGTGCAGAGCCTGGCCTGAGTGCCCACGGCCACAAGGGCAGAGCCAGGGCTAGAGCCAAGCCTCACAACCCAAGGGTTTCTACCCAGCTTCCACCCCAGAACCTAATTACTATGGGTCCCAGATCCCTGGAGTACGACAAAATCGTCAGAAAAATCCCTCTAGGAAAACGCACATATACATGAACATTTGCATATTTTAAGGGCCTTCTGGCTTCCTTTAGTGCCAGTCCATCAATCTGCTGAAGGCCGTCCTGACCTGTTCTGTCCACAGGTTCAGACCTGTGGACAGGACAGGTGCGATTCCTTGAAGCACATGCGGGCCGCACCGCCAGCGCCCAGGGGGCTCCAAACACAACACTGGGAAGTCTGTCCTGCATTCTGATCCCCTGCTGGGTCCCGGGGAGTCAGAGGCAGATCCGAGAGGGAAAAGCAGGAGAGCAGGAGCGTGTGCCCTCCGGCCGGGGTGTTGCAGGGGCAGGTGAGCCAGCCCGGCAGGGAGGGACCAGCAGCTGCGGCCCAGCCAGCTGTCCTGGGGGCAAAGGAGTGAGGTGCTGCGTCACAGCTGTGGGGGTGGGGGACAGCTGGGCTGATGGCGGGGGAATGGGACTGAGTGGGCAGCCGGGCGTGGCTTCCTCAGAGGCAGAAAGGTCTGGATCCCACCCACTTGCTCTGAGACTCATGTCAGGATCATGAACTGTTGGGGCCCAAAGGACTTTCGAGGTCTTCTAGTCCAGGGGCTTTTAAACTGGCTCTCGGGTGCACTAAGATTCAAGTGCCATCAGGTACGAGAGGCTGCATGGGAAGGACAGTGTCTCTGGCCTGTTCCCGGGCAACCTAGCTTTGACGGAACAGCTCTTCTAATAGCATTTTGGGGTGATATTTTGTTTGCAAAAAAGTAAAAATAAAAGGGGCTTCCACTGCTTTACAAATTTATAAACTCCTGGTCTAGTCTAATACTCTGAATGTTAGATCCCCTACCACGTGGCAGGCTCTGTTGATATTGCCTCCAAGACGGAGTTACTCCCTCCGCGTGTTCACAGAAAGGCCCACAGTTCCAGGGTCCCCAGGCCAGACTCCTGTGGGGACAGAGCCTCCCGGGGGGAATCCCAGCAGCAGCTGGCCCTCCACAGGGCAGTCACCTATTGGCAGAGGCCCCGCAGGGCAGGGCTGACACAGGAATGGGAAGGAACTGCCAGTCCCGGAGAGCAGGGAGCAGGAAGGGATTTGTCAAACACACCCCCCGCAGCAGTGCCCTTGTGCCCTGCCGTGCCCGCAGGCTCTGGCCGATGGCACTAAGAGGCCAGTGTGGCTCCTAAGAGGACCAGCGGCTCAAGGAGGTGCTCAGGGAACGGGGCCTGCAGGACAATGTGGCTGCTCTGAGCCATGTGAGCCCCGAGAGGGAGCTGAGGGTGGGGCCCAGGAGACTGGCCTGTAGCTGGCCCGGATCCACAGTACAGACCCTGACACACACACACACACACACACACACACACACACACACACACAGCTCCGAGGTCAAGTGGCCCTCCCTGCGCACACAAGAGGCCACGGGCTGAACCTGCCTCTCGACAGTGAGAAGCATGCCGACTCGCACACTAGCAGCTGGCCCCTGAATGCAAGGGGCAGGCTCATCCTGCTGGGAAAAGGGCCCCAACTTCTGACCCCCACTCCCCCCACTGCAGCGTGCCTTACCTTTAGCTTGGCCTGGATCTCACGGGCTTTGCGGCGAGCCAGTACCTGAATGTGGCTAGAGACCTGCAACAGGGATAGAGGGGTCTTGTCTCTACCTCCCAGAGAGCCTGTGCCCACAGCCTGGCTCCCCACCCACCGTCCTCCACAGCCCTCAGTCCACATCTGTGGACCAACTGAATGCATGAATGAACGAATGAAAAGGTCAATGCCTGGGCCCTCAGTCCAACCTGGTCCAGCTAATCCAGAGTTTGGCAATATTTTAAAAGTGTGGTGCTGGCCAGGTGTGGTGGCTCACACCTGTAATCCTAGCACTCTGGGAGGCTGAGACAGGAGGATTGCTTGGGTTCAGGAGTTTGAGACCAGCCTGAGCAAGAGCGAGACCCTGTCTTTACTAAAAATAGAAAAATTAGCCGGGTGTCATGGCATGCACCTATAGTCCTAGCTACTCGACGGTTGAGGCAGGAGGATCGCTTGAGCCAGGCTGACACCACAGCACTCTAGCCGGGGCAACAGAATGAAACTCTGCCTCAAAAAAAAAAAAAAAAAAGTTCAGTGCCAATGCTCTGCTGTCTGTTAAGTGTCTTCGGGAAGGTGTGGTAGGGGCTGCTGACACCCCCCGCCACAAGGTGAAAAATTTCCTCCTAAGTGATGGCAGCAGAGACCCCAGGAAAACCATACAGCCTGTGGCACGCCCACCAGAGACACTCATCCTGAGCTGCTGCACCCCAAGAGCCCACACCTGGCCTGCAGGCCTGGCCCTCTTGGGAATGGGCTGGTGCCTGGGTACCTTCCCCGAGATGTACACCTGTCTCCCAGGGCCCACCTGCTTCCTGGTGCGGGTCTTCCCTGTCCGGAGCTTGATGTAGCGCGCGATCAGCTCATTCCGACCTGCAGAGACACCAACAGCCCCTCAGCCAGGGGAAAGACAAAAGGCAAGGAAGGGGCGAGGGTCCCTGCCCGCTCGGGAGCTCTCCCCCAACTCTCTGCCCACCTTGAGTGGGGATGTGGGCTGGGGATTCTGCAGGGCCCCCCTTCCCTCCTTGGGTCACAGGGGTCTCTCAGCAGCAAGAGGAAGCTAAGGCCTCACTGGAAACCACAGAATGAGGTCACAGGGCCCATTGGTGCTGGCCACTTCCAAAGCCTCCTGAGCCCCCCCCATCTTCCTCTCCCCATACTGGCCACGCCCTCACCTCTGCCCCCACCTTCTCCTGTGGCCTCCCGCACTCAGGAGGCTCCAGGGAGTGCCTGGCTCCCTGCCCACCCCCACTCTGCAAATGAGTTGGCCCCTCCAAGCACTGTCCCGTCTGTGGGCAGTGGCAGGCACCGGAGTAAGAATGCCGAGACGATGAGTGCCCCTGGGAGGAAGCCTGAGCTCCTTACTCAGACCAAGGAAATCCAGTCGGTCCACGGCTGCCGGTCCACGGCTGCCGGTCCACGGCTGCCAGCCAAAGGCCAATGCTGGGCGCTCCCTGCAGGCCCAACCTCCCTGAGGCTGCCACTGAGCCTGCAAGATGCCGGAAAACTAGAAGGAGCCTTCCATGGCTTCTAGTATCATAAGAGATTATGACAAGAAGGTCCCTGTTTTCAAAGGAGCTCGCCACCTAGCTCAGTAGTGGGATGTGTCCAGAGGACAAGGGGTCAGTTCAGGCCAGGTGATCAGGTGAGCCCGCAGTTGGGCCTTGAGCACTGGGAAGCATCAGACCCTACGGAAGAGCGTGGGGGAGGCAAGAAGGTGTGAACGGGAGGGTGCCGTCACCTCCTTGCTCCACCTCTGGGGCCAGAGGGCACAGCCACTGCCTGCCCGTCCTGCTGAGCCTGGAGGGCGTGCGGCGTCCACATGAGGAAGCTGCTGGTGCAAGGGGAGGAGGGATGAGTGGGCTGCCCGCCACCTGGGGTGTAACTGCACTCCATGGCCAAGGCCAGGCTGGCCCCCCAGCTGACCTTTCCCCTCTGCCAAGGCTGAATTAAGAGGCCAACTCCAGAGGTCCCACACGCCAAAAGACTTGCTGGCCTGGGAGCGCTGGCTTGTCTGTCAGAGGAAGGAGGGAGGGGAGAGCCGGCTCCGGGCACTGCCTATGGGCTGGTCTCCGCCTAACCCTGAGTCCATAAGATGTCTCTTCCCAAAGCTTTCCAGGGAAACGGAGCCCACCGGCACCTTTGGCAATCCCGTGAACGCTCAACAGTTCCACCCTGTGTCTAGCCAGAAGCACTCACGCTGCACCTCAGGTCTAAGTCATCGCCAATGCGTCACCGAAAACGGACACAGAACTGGGAGTTCTAGCCAGGTTCTAGCCCAGCAGTTCCACAAACGAGCTATGGGACCTCGGCAAGTCCCTGCCCTCACAGACTGTCACCTAGCCTTCTCTTCTTAGATCTAGTTCCTTTAAAATTTTTCCTTCAGATTTTTCCAGCCAAATTTTACAGCCTCAGGAAAAAGACCTTAACTTTGGCTCAGTGAGAACTTTGTGGCTCACTTTCCCCTTCTGTAAAATGAACATTCTCTAGGCACAAGCCCAGTTCAGAGACTAGTCTGAGGGCAAGGAAAAGGCCAGGGGAGGAGGGCAGGTTCCCAGGAGCCGGGAGGTTGGTGACAGTGCTGGTGGACAGCGCGGAGAAGGGCGAGTGGGAGATCTGGGGCTGGCGGGGCGGGAGGGAGCATGCGGGGCACAGCAGCTCGCCTGTGCTGCCTTCCCTGTTAGACGCCCAGCACCTCTGCTCAAGTCTGCATCCCCACCTGCTGGCACCTATTTGCTGCATGAATGAAAGGATGAGTCCATCATGACTCCACATTCAAAACAAACCCAGAATCCGGCCACTTCTCACCACCTCACCCTCCAGGGTCCGGGCTCCCCCGCTCTCTGGCCTGGGTATTGATCCCGCCTCCCCCTGGACCACCTGCTCCACTCTGTTCTCGGCACAGCAGCCGCAGTGACCCATTCATGCTCGAAAGCCCTCCACGGGCTCCCACATGCCCCCCTCAGATAAGAGTGTCCAAGTCCTTACGACTGCCTGGACGCCCCTCAGGGCCCGCCCCTCCAGCGCCCCGTCCAGGAACATGCTTTGTGCTCGTTTGTCCTCCAGGCAACACTCTGCCCGAGAGCCCGCAGCACTGTCATCCTCCGGGGGCCACCATCTCAGAGAGGTCTCCCTGGACCAGCCCAGCCGAAAGCATCCCTGCCACCGCCCCGGCACGTCCCACCGCCTTTGCTGGTCTCCATGGCACCTTCTAGCCTGCTGTGCAAGGAACTTATTTATTTTGAATGCTGTTCATGCCTCACCCACCAGAAGGGAAGTGCCATGAGAACAGGGCTTTTTGCGGTCTGTTTATTCAATTATTTATACCCACACCTAGAAAACTGCCTCATCGTAGCCTCTCAGTGAGTGCAGAATGAGTGACAAGGGGATGCACAGTGACGTTTGTCAGATGTCCCATAACCAGTTCAGCCTTCTAAGAAAAGGGGTGAGTTAAATGAATGTAAATGACCTTTTCTTTTTTTGAGACAGAGTCTCACTTTGTTGTCCAGGCTAGAGTGAGTGCTGGGGCGTCAGCCTGGCTCGCAGCAACCTCAAACTCCTGGACTCAAGCGATCCTCCTGCCTCAGCCTCCCGAGTAGCTGGGACTATAGGCACGCGCCACCACGCCCGGCTAATTTTTTTTGTATATATTTTTAGTTGGCCAATTAATTTCTTTCCATTTATAATAGAGACGGGGTCTCGCTCTTGCTTAGGCTGGTTTTGAACTCCTGAACTCGAGCAATCCGCCCACCTCGGCCTCCCGGAGTGCTAGGATTACAGGCGTGAGCCACCGCACCCGGCCGTAAATGACCGTAAATGCAATTGGGGAAGGGCCCTAAGTGTAAGCCTGGTTAACTGCACACTAAATCCATTTCCTCCTACAATAGGCCGGTGATCGTTCCCATGTGCAGATAATCACACCCAGAGACTTGCAGCAGATGGGGGACTAACTGCCCAGTATTGGCTCAGGTGCTGACACCTGGCCTCGTGCCTGGCCTGGAGAGGACTCTCAGCTACCGAAAACACCTCTCACCGGCCAGGTGGGCCCCTAAGGGGTCGTCTCCTCTGCAGCACACGGTAAGCGGCACCCCCACCGGCTGACACCCTTACTCCTGACACCACAGAGGACACAGCCTCCTGTGCCAGGAGCCCCTGCACAGCCCCACAACTACCTTTGCCCTCTGTTGCTAGGAAGAGCCATCTCAGCCCCAGGTGAGAGGCCAGGCATTGGGGCAGGGAAGAGCCAAACCACAGGCAAGGCTGGCTCAACTGCCTTTGCAGTGTTTCTTTTTCTTTCTCCTTTTTTTTTGTAAACATGTGGTCTGGCAATGTTGCTCAGGCTGGTCTCAAACTCCTGGGCCCAAAGGATCCTCCTGCCTCAGCCTCCCAAGTAGCTGGGACCCCAGGCGTGAGCCACCACACCCAGCTAACCTTTTTTTCATTTTATTATTTATTTTTTAGAGATGAAGCTTCACTATGTTGCCCGGCCTGGTCTTGAACTCATGGGCTCAAGCAATCCTCCTGCCCCAGCCTCCCAAAGTGCTGGGATTATAGGCATGAGCCACTGTATCTGGCTCCCTTTTTTTTTTTTTACTGTAATATACAGGTTGAGTAGGCCCCTTCCCCAATTGCATGGGCCCCTTCCAAGTCCCTAAACTTAACTTTCTCAGCGGCTTGAATGGAGTATGATTAATTGACACACGCTTAAAGTAGACAATTTGATAAATTAATAGGTGGGCACACCTGTGAAGCCATCACCATCATCAAGATAGCGAGCATTTATCACCCGTAAAGTTTTTATCCTAATTTTATGTTTTTAAAAATTCCTTTTCTTAAAGAGAGCCTCCTAATTTCTAAAATTACTCATCCAAAATGCTTAGGACCAGAATTATTTCAGATTTGGGGATAACTACATTATACACTTACCAGTGTATCCCTAATCCAAAAATCTGAAGCCCAAAGTGCTGCACTGAGCATCTCCTTGGAACGTCATGTCGGCACTCAAAGTGTTTAGATTTTGGAGCATTTCAGATTTTCGGATGTGGGATGTTCAACCTGCAGCGATGGGTACAAGGCGGTGCTGTGATGCACGCGCACGGTGTGGAGCTATCAAATCAAGCTGACGGACATGTCCATCACTTCAGCTGTTTACCGTTTTTGGATGAGAAGATATGAAATTTATTCTCTTAGCACTTCTGAAATACATAATACACCATATTATTAACTGCAGTCGCCAAGCTGTGCAATAGGTCCCCAAAACTCACTCCTCTGGTCTCCCTGACACTTTGCACCCTCTGACGCATCCCCCACCAGCCCCTGCCTCCGGCAGCCGCCATTCTAGCTCTCCGCTGTGAGCTCGACTGTTTTAGATCCCACCTGCAGGAGACCGTGCGGCATTTGTCCTCCTGTGCCTGGCTTGTGTCGCTTGACATGAAGTCCTCCAGGCCTGTAGTTTTTCAAGTTGCGCTTCTCCCCCTCGCTGTCTCCGTGGCCCGTGCCCTCCCTGCTGACCGGTCTCACACCAGCCTGCGCTGCTCTTTGAGAACCCCTCCCACCAGGGTGGGGGTGAAGCGCGGGCTGCGGGTGTGCTGCACCAAGGGGGGCCAAGTGGCCGCCTTCCTGCCACCAGGGTCCTCCAGAGGTCACCCTCCCATCCTACGGGCTCCAGGCCAGCCGGCATCTAATCTGGCTTTACACACACACAGGGGACTGCTGTAGTCCCCTGTGACAATATTCACAACAATGAACATTATATCGGTGCCAGGTACCGCACAGCTCATCTGTGCCAGTGTCCGTGCACACAGCACTCCATCCCCACGCCGGCTCTGTGAGCCTGGTGCTATTATCCACACTACAGACAGAAAAGCCAAGGC